CAACCACTGTGGAAAACAGTATGGCGATTCCTCAAGGATCTAGAACTAGAAATACTATATGACCCAGCCATCCCATTACTGGGTGTATACCCAAAGGGTTATAAATCATGCTGCTATAAAGACACATGCACATGTATGTTTATTGCAGCACGATTCACAATAGTAAAGACTTGGAATCAACCCAAATGTCCATCAGTGACAGACTGGATTAAGAAAATGTGGCACATATACAACATGGAATACTATGCAGCCATAAAAAAGGATGAGTTCGTGTCCTTTGTAGGGACATGGATGCAGCTGGAAACCATCATTCTTAGCAAACTATCGCAGGAACAGAAAACCAAGCACCACATGTTCTCACTCATAGGTGGGAACTGAACAATGAGATTGCTTGGACACAGGAAGGGGAACATCACACACCGGGGCCTATTGTGGGGAGGGGAGAGGGAGGAGGGATGACATTGGGAGTTATACCTGATGTAAATGATGAGTTAGTGGGTGCTGATGAGTTGATGGGTGCAGCACACCAACATGCCACATGTATACATATGTAACAAACCTGCATGTTGTGCACATGTACCCTAGAACTTAAATAAAAAAAAAAAAAAAAGGAAAAGAAAAAAAGAAAAAAAAATTAAGCTCTCTACCCCTTCAACATTCTGGTATATTATAAATACATTTGAAAATAAAATAAAATAAAATAAAATAAATAAAATATAAAATAAAATAAAATATAAAATAAAATAAAATAAAATAAAATATCACCCCGCATACAGACCTTAAACCTTCTAACTTCTGACAAAGAACTTTGCCTTTCTACTTAGGAAGTCAATAAAAAGGGAGAACTCTCAAGCCTCCTCCGGAACACAGCTAAGTGCTGAGGAATGCTAACTGCCAGGAGAGCATAGAGCGGTTCATCTTCAGTCAATGTATGTGCCCTGGAGCCAAGAAATGGGTTAGAGAAAGGGGCGTGGTACTCCAGACCTGCATATGTGATTCTGGATGAACAGTGACCACAGAGGACAAAGGATTAGGGAGAGGAAGAGACTCATGATGTACCTAAATCACCTGTGTCACGGTTAATTGTCAACACAGTTCCGAAGAAGGAGGTCTTTGGAAGGGATACTACAAGACTCCAAGCCAAGTGTGCCAGAAATAAATGCTTTAGAAAGCACATCAGTGCAAGTTTGGACCCTGGTGAAATTCTGGTGCCGTTTTGTTTTCAGTGACTGGGGTACATGTTTAGGAGCCCATTCTTCCAGAGGCTGAGTTCATACCATATCCCACTTTTTACCTCTAGCCTGGAGGCAATCTCTGGACCTGCTATTGAGGTTTGAGGTGAACTGTTCTAGTTGATTTCTACTGTCACAGGTCTTCCTTTCATGTCCTTCTGTCTTGCATTTCCACTCCCCCTCAGCAACTCCCCAATCTTCTCACGCTCCACATTGTCAGTCTCTTTTCTCCCTTAGTTCAACTCAGTTGACTCTTTAGAGCTCCAAAAATACAACAGCTTGGTTGTTTTAGGAAAAGAAAGTCAGGAGGCTAGCTGTGTAGAAACCTTGTGAAATGATGGAACAGAAATTATAATCATGTCCCTGAACAAGGCCATCTGAGGCGAATGATCTGCTGTCAGAATAAAGTATATAATGTTTTCATATATAATGAAGCATATAATCTGACAGAGAAAGAGAAGTAGGAAGGCTCCAGGATAGCGGTCCTCAATCCTAGATGTCTATTAGCATTATCTGGGGGAACTTAAAAATACAGATACCTGGACCCCATACCAGAGATTTCCATTTAACTAGGGTGGAAATGGATTGACCATCAATGTTTATAGTCTCCATAGGTGTTATGAATGTGCAGGCAGGGATGAGAATCACTGGTCTGATCAGAGCTCAGCTAATCCAGTACAGGATGATACCTAAATGTACAGCCAGCAGAGAAAATGCTGAAAAACAAATTACGAAGTCTGCGTTCCTATAGTTAATGTTGGCATAGCCCGAAACAAAAAGAAGAGAAAAAGTGATAGGTAGAAGGACTTCGTGTCCCCTACCCCATGACTCCTCTCTTTCAAATGTGTTGTCTTGTAGCTTACATTCTTTAGGCCCTGAGACACCAAGGCAAACAGACCTTGATAATATAATCAGTCATCAATCAATAACTCAAATATTATTGCTGTATAATACTTTTATTAAAGTTTACGGAAAAAACCCACATTTCTGTATGTGTCATATCATATAATTTCCAGGTGTGTCAGAGTCCAGTGACAAATTACATTTGAAGAACAGCTTTAAAATCCACTCTTGTCTGCCACTCCTTTATGAAATATTGAAAAGCAGCTCTGTATCTCAGCATTAAAGGTTACAAAAAGCACCATTAAAAAGAGGACTCACATATTGAATTTCCTTCAAATTAGTCTTATCTCTCCTTTCTGACAGACACAGAGCTGCACTCATTTGAAATGCTGCTGTGTAATACCAACCAACATGCTCCAATTTATCAAAATTCAAACAAGTCTCATATATGAAACCTGTGTAGCGATTAGGACTAACCCACCACAGTGAGCTTTGGCTGTCCTAAAACCACAAGCTGGGTTAGGTAAGTGTTTTGTAGAGGGGAACAGAAAAGAAGTAAGATCATCAATACCTAATATATTACTTAATGTAGGTATCCCTTGATGATTTAACCTGACACCTACAAAATCCATAGTGTTCAGTATTTCACACCAATCTCACTGCAAAAGTGCTGTGCTACATACAATTCAAGTTAACTCCAACTAATATTGGAACTAATAAAAAAGTAATTTATAACAAAGCTTATCACTTCAAAGTACAATTGAGAAAAGCAAATCCAGACAAAGCCCAAACTAGAATCCTAGAGGGATTCCATTGCTAAGAATTGCCATGTGTTACGTAATTTCTGTAATGTAGTTACTGCAAGTAATAGACTTGAGTTTTTCTCTTTTTTCCCTTCTTTCATAGAATTTAAAAAATATTTGGCTTTTTACTCTAACAGTTTGGGTTCATTGCAGAAATCACAGTCCTTCCATATCCAATTGTGACTGGCACTTAAGGAGAGACAAATGCTAAGATCCAAAGAGTTTTGAAAGACCCTAATTGCTACCCCTCCCAGGTCCCGCATTCCATGGGTAACTGGAGTCAGCAACCCCTGGTAGAAGACAGCAAGCACTGGGCTTTAAGGGTGAATCAGAATTATGCAGGAATACACTGTACATCTGCTATTAAGCCCACACCCCAAATCACTAGAACGTGAGAATGTAGAAATCTCTGAGAACAGAACGTATTTCAAACACACACAAACATAGACTATTGCATATCATTTTTAGTTGAGGTCAAAATGATTAAAGCCCTATTTCCCCAATTAAAAGTAGGGAGTTCTATTAGTATGTCTTCTTCATTTATATCACAGATTAATATAAACCCAGTCTAGAGGTATCACTTCTTTCCAAACTTAACTTCATTTCAGCAGCATACATGGAATATTAATTCTTTTCCAGGTTTTTATTCCAGACCCATTAGATCTACAAGAGACTAGAAAGAATTGGAGCAAAGTAAGTGGGCCTGGGTTTGTAGGATCCTCACAAACTTCTCCTGGATTCTTCTTTTACAAAGTTTCTCTACCATACAAGCATACGTTTCACAAGCCAACATTATTGAGGTTAGGTATGCCCTTCAGGGGTGTTGCCTAGAATGGTTAAATCCCATTCAATTTCAAGCTTAAAGAAGGCTAACAATCATGGTGTGGAATTTTTCCATACCAGCAGCATGGCTAACGTATGTGTTTTACATAATGTCTGACACTCTGGTAAAGTCTGCCTGACAAATGAGCTTAAAGCAGAGCGGAAAGGAAAGAGGAGAGAATTGGAACACGATGCAAAGGGAAGATGGTTATACACTGCTAATTCTGTACAGTGAGATCCAAGGACACCACCATGTGGTGTCTGATTTAATTTCTTTTCAAAAGAGGACATTTTCAGTTCTAAGTTACTCAAGACTTTATTCTCCTATTATTACTTCTCAGCTCAGTCACTCTTCTCTTCCCCACAATTCCAAAACTATGTTGCAGTTCTTTAAGGGTCAGCCCTCATGAAGAGCTATTTTCTTATTTTGCCTACTTTGACTCTGTAAAATGTCAACAGGCAAAATAAAGGCTAAAAAAATTTTTTGCCTTTACTCGTTTTCAAAATCTGTCAAACTCTCCTCAGCATAAAATTAATTATCCCTTTAACTAATCAACACACAAGGACAAATGAGTAGTACTTTGGGTTACTTCCTTCTCTTCCTCCCTCTCTTCCAAATAGACTGAGATAAGTCTTCTCAAAACCATGGGATGTATTAGCAGTATAGAAAAGGGACAGCACCCAGTGCTGAATGAGTCAGCACCCAGTGCCTCCTACCCATTCCTTTCTATACCAGCTGGTGGGCTCCCATTTCATATCTGGCTGAGAGTTACCTCAGAACTTGGGAAACTGACACTCTCTGCACATTTCCAGATAGAAAGATCTGAAGGTCACTAGCATCAAAATCTACTGTCGGGAGGCCGAGGTGGGTGGATCATAAGGTCAAGAGATCGAGACCATCCTGGCTAACATGGTGAAACCCCGTCTCTACTAAAAATACAAAAAATTAGCTGGGCGTGGTGGCGGGCACCTGTAGTCCCAGCTACTTGGGAGGCTGAGGCAGGAGAATGGCGTGAACCCAGGAGGTGGAGCTTGCAGTGAGCCGAGATCGCGCCACTGCACTCAAGCCTGGGCGACAGAGCGAGACTCCGTCTCAAAAAAATATATAAAAAAACCTACTGTCACTGGGGGCAGACCCATTTCACAAAAGCCTCAGGCCTGAGAGAAACTGATGAGATCTCTTTTCCTGCCCCACTCTACTGTGTGGAGTAAAAATTGTCATACACGAACACATAGATATTACGTTTCAATACTGTTGACAAGAAACATGAATATAACAAACTTCATGTAACAACCAAGATTTTGAATCCTCCTAAGTGGCCCACTTATTTAATGGGTATTGGATAAAAACAAAATTCTAGTACAACTGAAGACTGTAAATCCTGAGAGTTGGTTATAATAGGATCTGGCCTGGATTTTTAAATGGCACACCATTCAAAAAGTGGTTGGGAACATAAAAGGTTCTCCACAAAAGCCTTTTGCTGCAGAAGGTGGCCTTGGATGGTTAAAGTAGTATTTACTCTTAGCAATTAACCACCAAAGCATTTAGTTATTTGCACCTCAGCAAAACAACAATCCCATACTTTACTCCATCACACCTGGAATCCAAGAGGTCTACAAGTCCGAAGACAACTGCGTTGTCAGCTTTGCATGGGAAAGACAGGAGGTAGCTAAACTGACCTGTAGGTGCCCTTTCCGTGTGGCTAGGCTCATCTGAGCAGTCAGGGAGTCTCTCATTCATCAATAGTTTAGCCTCCTTTAGTACTATTTGACTTATCTGTAAAATGGAAGAGCCCCAGCTACTTGGGAAAAAATGTTTTATCTCTGAACCCCAAAAGTGGACTGAATACTTTTCAGCTCACAAATGGAATTCAGTGACCCCACTTAATCGTCAAACCCTTTAAAAAGAAGAGGCAGGAGAACAAAATGATTTTGTTAACACTTGGTACAAAGAACGATACTTTTCATGGTTGGGAATACTAGGAATACTTTCTTGCTTCTTGGCCTGACAATCTTTAAAATGAGGGAACCCTTTAGGTGCATCAAATGAATTAAATGAACTTGAGCAGTTTATCTAGAGCAGTGTTTAGTGTAGTGATGTGTACAGGGTTGGCCATATTGATCTAAGAATGTGGAAGGCTAGACTAGAGAAGAAAATATGAAGAAGCATTTATCAAAATCCTGAAATTCTCCAATGCAGTCTCTTAAGACCAATGAAAAGGCATTTCTTTAATTAAAAAAAAATGCAGGCACATAAAAATCTTTCAAGGATGAAAGATGTGAAAGTACTCCCTGGTTCCACTCCTACCTTCAGAACTGTTTGCTGAGAGAGAAAAGACAGAAGCAGGGCCAGGCAAAGTGTGAAAACTTTCGGGAATTTGCCAATACAGCCTGAGCCTTGGCGCCAAACTAAAACAAAAAAGTAGATGTTCTGCATTCTGCTTTTCTTATAATGCGGAGACATATTTCCTTTAGAAGTTAAAACAAACATGACAAAGTGGCCTGCACCTGTGCTGGGCTAAAAAGGGACCTTCTGACAGCCCTAGTGTCTGGGGTGGATCAGGGGCCACAAAACTTTTCAGTCACTTACCCAGTGAGTTTTGTGTTAGAGAGGGGTCAGGTATGGGATCTGAAGGAGGCTACTAAAGGAAGATTGTGAAATGAGAGGAAAAAGGGTTCTTGTGGGGCATCTGGTATCATATAAACAACACACATTGTGCCACATACTCTGGGAATATAGAGAACCCATGCAAGAAAAGCTGCCCTTGCAATTAGGCAGCTGTTAAGTAGGGCAGTGGTCTAGCACAAGCCCATTCCTTGGAGAGCCAAGGTAGCAGTGATAGAATCTCCGCCCAACAAGGATCCTAAGAGTTTGCTGTTCTTTCATTTTAGGAAAAAAGCTTCCTATATAGTTATTCCTGCAGCGCCCCCAAACAGGTCTTGGTGAAAACCCATAGGCAGAAATAATACTTCTAGCTGGGGCTAGGAGGCTTCCATTTACCTTCTTCTCATATGTATATATTTTTTTCTTAAAATAAATTCCATGAACTCATAAAGCTCTCATCTGCAATCAAATGCAAAAGCAGAGCGTCCTACTCAGAGGCTCTGAAACACACATATCAGCCTCAAAGCAAATCAGCCTTCCAGTCTCAGGTAAGACTGGTTCAGTCCAGAAAGGCAAGGGAGATGCTTCTCCTGAATCCTTGGAGGCAAGAAGAGATCCCTTCAGATGGGCTTGTATAGCAGAGTAGTAACATACTTCTTCTTGTAGCGATGGGTTGCGCTAAGGACCATCACACTGTCCTGCAAGGAAAAGAAACATGCGCAGCTAATTCATTAGTTCAGATAGTAGGTAGCTCTTCCCAGCCATCAGTCCTTCAGTCACTCACTTTTAACAGAGATAGTTTGATGTAAGAGAAGGAGGTCAGATAAGTTTTAGTTCCAATTCTGACTCCTGTCATCATTCTACTTGTGGCCTTGGGTAATCTACTTAGTGTGTCCAAGTCTTTTTATCTCATCATTACAAAAGATAACACCTACCATTAATGTGGCTCTGATGATTACATGAGAATATCTGACATAGTTTCTGACATATAAAAGTGCTGAAGAAATATTAGTCTCCTACCCTGCTCCCTTCCCTACTTTAAATTCTAATATTGGGCCTAACACTAGCAAGGAAAAAAAAAAGAAAGAAATATTCTGGCATCCATTTCTAGAAGAAAGTCTTAAAGACAATGAGAAAAAAAGAAACAATCCTTCTGAAAAACTATCTCTAAGACCCAAAGCAGGTCTAACTTCCATTTAATGCCAGGGACCAAGTCCCAAAGCAGGTCTAACCTCCATTTAATGCCAGGGATGAATTCAAAAAGATCTCTCTGATTTAGAGGGAACCTAGGAATCCCTCTCCATCCTCGAACAAAGTACATGCCAAAATCTTCTTCAGAAAGACACCCAATCCAATGGATCAATTCCAAACCGCCTAAACAATCTGAGAGAATCAGGAATGGGTCTGAACCAAGCTGAGCCACAATAACCAACACCTTCACCTGAGTCAGAACCAGTAAGAAGAGAGCAAGAGGCACCATTTCCCAGGCTGTGTTGCAGACTACAGATGTACCACAGGAGGAGATGGCAAGCCTAGGTAAATTAAATGACACCCAACGAGCAGTTACAGGAGGCAAAATCCATCAGATCCCAAAGAACCTAAGCAAATCCCATTAAGAACAAGTGTATCCTTCTACCTTCCCCCATACTCTATTATCCACCACGAATGCTTCTCGCGTTAACACTCCAGAGTAGACACAAAGCCTAAATACGACAGAAGCAAGGCAGGTAAAAAATTCACTTTTACACTTCCACAGGTTTTATGGAAATGAGGAATAGGTGAGAAAAACCTACTTGGAAAGACCTGGCATAATGGTAATATAGGAAAGAATATGAAGTTAGCATAGGAGGATTTGACCTCAGCAGTCCTGTCTCTGGTACTTACTGGCAATTTGACCTTCTCTGAGCCTTAGTTTCTTTATCTATAAAACAGGGGTTAAAAATAATACTTACAAGGTTATTACAAAAATTAAATTCAATAATATATTTTTAAGTGTTATATTGTACCACATAATTTGTTAGCTGTATCAGTGATTTCCCAAATCCAGCTATATATCCAAGTAAAAGCAGCTTAAAAAAACTATAGGGCCCATCCTAGATGCACTTATTCAGAATCTCTAGGAATGGAGCTGCTGAATCTGTATTTTTACAATCTCCCCCAGGAGACTCTGATGATAATCAGCCTGGTTTGATAATCACAGAGCTATATAACTTTATTCCAATAGCCAAACCACAAAGACACAACAAGACAGAACAGAATGGCTGTTTTCAACCCAGACTCTAAAGCAGCAGAAAAATCAAGGAGGACTCTAGAGTTGAAGAGACAGGGCAAATCTGGTCACATCTCTCCTTTAATTCATGTATAGGAGACATGCAAGCACCTGAATATATATGAATGAGGCACCTGAAAGTAGCTCAATTCCACCTTCAAAAAAGTGAAAGCCTTAATATCACATTAAAGCATTCTTTGAACTGGAAGCTAAATTTGAACTGGAAGCTAAACCTGCTTTTTCTGCAGAATAAATCCTATGCTATGAACTGAAACTTAAGTAAATAGCTGGTAGAAAGATTTTAGCCACCCAAAAAATAACTGGGCAGCAAAAAAGTCCTATCAGAGGGCAATTCAGCCAGCCAGAACACAGAGACTGAGATTTTAAAACAAACAACCTATTAGTTAAAAAAAGAGAGTTCTTCTGTAATTTGATCATTACTGCCAGTTTCAGCTTCAATGAAATAGCAGAGAAAGTAACCACTGAGAACATATGTTACCCTTGACCTCTCATTCCAGGGAGCTCTGTGAAGAGCCAGGGCCACCACTCACCTTAATGGACAATGCATAGAGATGGTTCAGCATAACGTGGTTGGGCTCAGGGAGTAAGGCTGGGTCACACTAAGAGAGAGAGAAAAAAATTACTAAATGAAATTAAGGCACAGACAAACCAAACAGCTTACTCTTCCTCAGAGCTCTTTGAGAAATTTAAACTAGAATGCGTTCTCTCTTTTCAATAATGTACCCACTCCAGTATGTATCAATAATAAAATCCTATTACAGAAAATTAGAAAAATTATCAGTCCAGGGCAGAAATCTTATGCCTCAGCATCTACTAATCTTCCTTAAGAGAGTTAAAACAAAAATCTTGCCCACAACACACAAGGAAGAGTTGTGTTACAAGGCAAAAATAATCATAGTAGGAATCAAGTAGATTGAATAGGGACATAAATTATATACAAAAAAACTTTTATAATTTTTTTGTACATCCCCAAATGATAAGTACTACTTCATGCTGTGCTCAAACAGAAGTCCATAGCTCTGATCCTGATTTTATTATGATGAGGAGACAACTACGATTTTGTGTATGAGTGGCTGAAGCAGCTGTGACTCAGCACTGGAAAAAGGCAATCTGTAATGTTACTGATATGTGTATGACTTGTAATCTCAACACACCTCTGTAATCATCCTAACCTCCAGGATCACTGAACTTTAGTCCAAATGGTCCTAGACACTCCCAGAAGCCCCAGTAATACTGAGGATACTCACAGAAATATTAGTGTCTTTGTTAAGAATAACTTGAAGTAGATGAGGAGGAAGGATGGGTGGGGATTTGAATCTTTCCTCAGATCGAAACACATACATTTCTTGACCATAAGGCCCTGGGGGTGAGCTGGAAAGGTCTGAAAGATATTTATACAAATATAAGAAAGAGTTGGAGAATTAGTAAGAATGCATGGAAAAAGTTATCAATACATGGCAGCTAACATTAAATATAGTAGAAGTCCTGGATCACAAACTTGTGACCTGTGGGATCTACAGCTGTAAGGTAACCGGAGAAAAAATCCGAGTCCCCTGGACATAAACCATGAAGCTCCTCAACATGGCAACATGATTTGGGAGACAAAGAGATAAAGACTCAAAGACCCAGGCTCAAGGAAGAGCTATTACATTTATCAGTTGTAGGAGACATTGGAAGAATCCCTCCATAATGGTCAGTTTCTTCATAAAATAAAAATAATCTTTGCCCTATTTCATGATGTTTTTGAGGAAATCAAATTAGATAATGGATGTGAAGATGCCTTGTAACTTTCAAACAATGGGAAAAGATTCGATTTTTTTTTCCAGCCAAACAACAAGTTTATAAACCCCTAAGACAACCAATACAATAATGACTGCAACAATAAGGACAAAATGTATGTAACTGTCATTAGGGAAATGCAAAATCAAAATCATAATAAGCTACCATTTCATACTCACTAGGACAGCTAAAATCAAACAGATAGACAGTAACAAGTGTCAACAAAGGAATGGAGAAATTGGAACGCTCACACTATTCCCACTGCTAGAGGGAATGTAAAGTAGTCCCGCCTCTTTGGAAAACAGTTTGGCAGTTCCTCAAATAGTTAAACATAAAGTTACTACATGACCCAGCAATTATACACTGGGTATATACCCAAAAGAAATGAAAACACATGTCTACACAAAAACTTGTATGTTCATAATAGCATTATTTATAATAGCCAAAAAGTGGAAACAATCAAGATGTCTATCAACTAATGAATGGATAAACACAAACAGTATATCCATACAATGGGTTCTTATTCAGCCATAAAAAGGAGCAAAGTACTGATACATGGTTACAAGATGGATGAATCCTGAAAACATGATGCTAAGACGCAAGTCACAAAAGACCACAATTTGTAGGATTCCACTGATATGAAATGTCCAGAAGAGGCAAATCCTTAAGACAGCAAGATTTGTGGTTGCCAGAGGCGGAGGGGAGGGAATGGGATGTGACTGCTAATGGGTACAGGGTTTATTCTGCAGGTGATAAAAATACTCTGGAATTAGATAGTTGTGATAATCACACAACTCCGAGTATACTAAAAATTACTGAGTTATACAATTTAAGAGTTAATTTTATGATGTATAAATTACATCTCCAAAAAAACGAAAAAAGTATGCAGACAAGAATAGAAGGAAATATACCAAAATGAAGAGAAATATATTATGATAATATCTTTTATTTAAATGTTATTGTTTCTTTTTTGAGACAGGGTCTTGCTCTGTCACCTAGGCTGGAGTGCAGTGGCTTGATCACGGCTCACTACAGCCTTGACCTCCTGGGCTCAAGCGATCCTCCTACCTCAGCCTTCAGAGTAGTTGGTACTAAAGGCACATGCCACCATGCCCAGCTAATTTTTTGATTTTTTTGTAGAGACAGAGTCTCACTATGTTGCCCAGGCTGGTCTCAAACTCCTAGGCTCAAGTGATCGTCCCACTTCAGCCTCCCAAAGTGCTAGGATTACAGGTGTGAGCCACCAAATTCATTGTAAGAACTAAGTTCCAGTGTTCTATTGCACACTAGAGCGAATATAGGTAACAATAATGTAACAAAATAAAATAGCTACAAGAAAGGATTTTGAATGTTATCACTACAAAGAAATGACAAATGTTTGAGATGATGAATATGCTAATTGTCCTGACTTGATCATTATACATATGAAATGTATTGAAACATCACATTGTATTTCACAAATATGTACGATTGTTATGTGTCAATTAAAAACAAAAAAAATACATATAAGGCAAAAGGAAAAAAAGAAGAATACTCTGATATTAAATACTATCTTTAAAACATATGGAACTTGAAACTTTACAAAGTATCATGCTTTGTTATTTCATTACATGATCCACAAAATACCCTTGGGAAATGCACAAAATAGTTTTTATTGCCTTTTCACCAGAAAAAAAATAAATACAAATTGGTTATTTGCCTAAAGTTACATACATGACTAGATAGTAAATGAGGGCAGACTAAAATCCATTATCTGTAGATTCCCAGTAAAAAATGGATTATAAGCGTTACCTCAATAGATTAGGAAATTAGGGGAAAGAGGGAAATATCAAAAGTATGTTAGTCTTCTCTCTATATAATTATGATTACATGTCTATTATTTATTGGTTACTTAGCCAGAATCATATAATACAAAAATTAGTTACAAGTATCCTCATAATCTAATTCTGCATTTTTAAACCCTTTTAAATTATTGTCCTACCAGTCAAAAATAATGTCCAGTTTAACCTTCTGAGCTTATATGATGAAAACAACATTTTCAAAATTTTCCTCAACAGATTACTACACTATTGATAAATCTTTTTTATTTTATTTTTTTTTTTTGAGACGGAGTCTAGCTCTGTTGCCCGGGCTGGAGTGCAGGGGCGCGATCTTGGCTCACTGCAAGCTCCGCCTCCCGGGTTCACACCATTCTTCTGCCTCAGCCTCCTGAGTAGCTGGGACTACAGGCGCCTGCCACCACGCCCGGCTAATTTTTTGTATTTTTTTTAGCAGAGACGGGGTTTCACCGTGTTAGCCAGGATGGTCTTGATCTTCTGACCTCGTGATCCGCCCGCCTCAGCCTCCCAAAGTGCTGGGATTACAGGCATGAGCCACCACGCCAGGCTTTTTTCTTTTTTTTTGAGACGAAGTCTCACTCTGTCACCCAGGCTGGAGTACAGTGGCGCCTTCTCAGCTCACTGCAACCTCCCTCTCCCAGGTTCAAGCGATTCTTCCACCTCAACCTCCTGAGTAGCTGGGACTAGAGGCCTGTATCACCACGCTTGGCTAATTTGTATTTTTAGTAGAGACAGGGTTTCACCATGGTAGCCATATTGGTCTCGAGCTCCTGACCTCAGGTGATCCACACGCCTAGGCCTCCCAAAGTGCTGGGATTACAGGCCTGAGCCACTGTGCCCAGGCAATAATTTCCTTTAGAAACAGCAAAGCCACCCTTCTCCTCTGAAATTCAAATATGTTCCACTTAAGGTGTTGTGCCTCCTCAGCTGAGAATCACTGAAAGTGTAAGTCCCTGGTTTTACTGTGAAGAAACTCAGAATGAAAAAGGTTGAGACATTTGTTCATGATGGCAAAACTAGTTAGCAGAGGTAGGCTTTGAACCCATTAGAGAGAAGTGTGCTCACTGGGAATACAGCGCACAATTCTTTAGATCGTCTTAGCTCTTATTGTAAAGTAACAAAATGGTAACTACAAGTGTGGTTAGCAAAACATTCTCTGATACTGTAGCAATTGTAAGTAGAGATGAAGGCCTTGGATCAAGTAATATTATAGGAAATAAAAGTGTAAAGATCTTTTCCGCTACCAAAGACTTTTTTTTTTTTTTTTTTTAAACCAAAAACTTACAAAATTTCAATTACCTACAACAGAATTGTCGGGGGGTGGTGGGGGGCAGTGGTTGTCTTGTTTTTGAGGCAGGATCTCACTCTATTACCCAGGCTGGAGTGTGGAGGCTCAAACATAGTTCACAGCAGCCTCAACCTCCTGGGCTCAAGTAATCCTCATGCCTCAGCCTCCCAAGTTGTTGGGCCCACAGACTTGTGCCATTACACTCGGCTAATTTTTAAAAATTTTTTGTAGAGATGAGTCTTGCCATATTGCCTAGGCTGTTGGTTTTCTTTTTTTTTTTTCCCCCACACTTTTTGGGCCTCATAAAATCATGAAACTGCTAACTGAGCTCTCAAACTGGCAGGATTAAGATAGGGCATACCGAACAAACTACATACATGTATCTCCTCTGCTGGGTAATATCATCAAAGGTCAGTGGAAAACTTGAAATATTACTAGAAACAGCTTTTCAAACTATAGGCTGTAGCCCATTAGTGGTTATAATGTGTGTGTGTGTGTGTGTGTGTGTGTGTATGTTTGCTGCAAAGAAAACACTTAAATATTTATAGGAGAAATATCTTTGTCTCTATTGCCTCCCCCCGCCCCCCACTCTCTCTCCCTTTCTCTCTCTCTCTCTCTATATATACACACACATAAACAACTTTTAGGAAGGAACATACATTACAAGAAAGACACAGCAAGAGAGAGTAAATACTACAAAATTACCTCTACAAGATGTCTCAGAACTTTCCATAGAATCTAGCTTTAAAGCATCGAACACCTCAAAATCAGATTTCTTGACATGGATCAAATTGTTAATAGTGCCGAGCTGACTGGTAACCACAGGCTGAAACAGTGAATACAAAAAATTATTGAATCTTTCAAATCTCTCTCTCCCATCCAACCTTCCTTTTTTACTAAAATTTACACATGATTGTACTCAGCACCTCCACATTTTATCAAGAGAGAAATCCTCCAGTGTAGAGGGGCAGTTGCCCATCAGTCTTGACAGAAATGACAGCTAAAATGAGACTGCTAAGTCAATGGTTACCCTTGGAGATCAAGGCCTTACCTCTGATGGATCATGAACCCACTGTCCATCCACAAAGAACTTGTATTGGTGCTCTCCCTCAGGGAGGTCCAGGATGGCAACAAAGTCATTATGGCTACAGAAGAAAAAAGAAAGGCAAACAGGCCAAGTTTCTTTTAGAAGACTGAATGTAAAAAACAAATGGCAATCATAGTATCATACGAATAATTTCCCAGATTCCTAAGCCTTGTATCCCTGGTGTAAAAAACAACATATAAACCCATTCTCCTTTTCTGTATCATCTTGGACATGTATTTACCAGCTCCTCCCAACAACGTTAGTTCTTAACCAATATCTGGAAAAGAATAATAAAAACATTAATCCCCTCAAATGGTTCACCTTAGTATAACTATTTTGCTTCAGTAGAACAAGTTCCTCAGCAGTGCAAATGAGATAGGTAGGTTCAGGATACAGAAGTGCCTCAAGGTACTTTGTTTTGGTGAACCTTTTCTGGAAAATGAACTACCATACAAAGGCTCATTCTGACAACCAGTTAAATCATTCATTATTGCTTTGGAAGCAACAAATAACATGACTACCTAGAACTTCAAAATGTGTTTCGCTTTAGTGTAGAAGTCAGAGCAACAAGACTCAGCCAGTTACAGAAGACTTCCCACAAGCATAGACAGGACTTGTATGACACAGTCCTAAAGAATGTAGTCACAAAGCTATTATGAATCCCTCTGAGGCAATGAAATTCTAAGGGATAAAAGACCTCTGACTCACTATGAGGTTAAAAAAATCCCACAGATACACTAAGTGGCCACAGAGATATGTTCTAGAGAGAGTCCTTAGCAGGTGGAGAAAAGTAGTCCAGCTGGGTCTCTCTTCTGAGAAAAGAAATCAGGTCTCTATTCCTGGACCCTTAGATTCAACCAAGATACTTGTCACCTCTTAATCAGTGGAATCTTGGTGCTCCAATTGTTGAAGGACCCAGAGATGAAGACCTCCTTGCCTCCTTCAGACCAGCGGATAACAGTGGGCCGGGCCTGCTGTGTGGGCTTTACGGAGTCCTCCAAATCCTGCTGCCATGATACAAACTCTTTGTCCCCAGGGAGCTGTAAGAAGGAGTAGGTCATCCCTAGAATAAACTGTGACCCAAGAATTCTAAAAAGGTCACTCTCCTTCCTAGAGTAGAGAAGGGTGCTAGGCTTTGGCTAAGGATATAAACCCCAAAATTAGCAACTAAATCAGAGTTTGAACAAATTATAGAAAAAGAACTCATCTAGGACCAAAAATGGTCAAATGGCCTATGCTCAAGCACTGCCTAAATCACAGCTTAACTTTTGAGTCTACCTATATCACTCACCCTTTCACAGCCTTAGACTCTTCCTTTAAAAAAAAAAGAAAAAAAACTAACTCCCTACCACTAGTTTAACTCATAGGCAGGCAATTATGATATGCTTCTGAGTCTTTCTTATTTTTTTATTTTTTATTTTTTGAGACAGTCTTGCTCTGTCACCCAGGCTGGAGTGCAGTGGCGTGATCTCAGCTCACTGCAAGCTCCACCTCCCGGGTTCACACCATTCTCCTGCCTCAGCCTCCCGAGCAGCTGGGACTACAGGCGCCCGTCACCACGCCTGGCTAATTTTTTTGTATTTTTTAGTAGAGACAGGGTTTCACCGTGTTAGCCAGGATGGTCTCGATCTCCTGACCTCGTGACCCGCCCACCTTGGCCTCCCTAAGTGCTGAGATTACAGGCGTGAGCCACCGTGCCCAGCCCGTTACTGAGTCTTTTTTAAGAGAGAGAAAAAAAAATGAAAACAAAGTATGGTTCTGTAAAAAATAATTAAGTCAGCCATATACTTTTATAGGCAAATATGAATAGTTCTCAATTACCAGTTGTAATGGAAGTTAGAGATATCAAAATTCTAGTTTATAAGTAATTCATAAACTCTATTTCAGCTAACAAGTTACAAAAAGAAGAAACATTAAAAATTCAAAAACCAGATCACTGATTTCTTAAAACTTGAGAAGCGGCTATGAAATCTTACTTACTCCCCTATCCCAGGTTTACACTAATTATTTCAGGAGTAGGAATAAAAATTCTAGAACCTCAAGGAGCAAGAGATCAAAAATACAATTTCCTTTGTCAAAAGTAGCTCTCTTATTAAATGAGGTTTGTGGGATTGTAAAAACAGTAACTCCAGTTTCTTTTCATTACTATCCTTTGGACCAAGAGTTGGCAGCCAGCCAGTGAGCTAGATGCTTTTATCAAGTTTTATTTGGAAATAGCTCTGCCCGTTTGTTTACCTATTATTTTATTTACTGATTGATTGAGAAAGGACCTTGCTCTATCACCCAGGCTGGAATGCAGTGAATGGTGTGATCATAGCTCACTGCAGCCTTGAACTCCTGGGCTCAAGCCATCTTCCCACCTCAGTTTCCAGAGAAGCTGAGACTAGAGGTATGAACCAAAATACCTGCCTTGCTTACCTATATTGTCTATAGTTGCTTACATGCTAGAGTGGCAGAATTGTGTAGCTATAACAGAGACTGTATGGTCTACAAAGTCTAAACTGTTTACTACCTGGCCCTTTATAGAAAGATTGCTGACCCCTGTTTTAGACTGGTTTAAGTGACTTTGGTGAAGAAGACTGTACAATATTAAGCCTAAATATTACTAAATAGAATAATATGGGGTTTTTCTTTTTCTTTCTTTTTTTTTTTTAAGGACTAGCTTATTCATTTGGGCTTTCTTTTCAAAATGGTTGACATAGTTTCCCCTCCATACATTCTCTTGATATTCCTCAAAACTACAGTATAAGACATCAGCAGCAGGATAATCCAAAGTAAATAGAGAAAGAGAATTGAAAGGACTTTCACATAAGGAATTGACTTCAGAGAAAACTACATATTATCAGAACGATGCACCCTTGCCTAACTGGCTGCGTTAGAATCAAGAATTTGACATATGCCTAAGAATAACCCTCAGATTCTGATATAAGATCTGGGAATCTATTTTTAAAAAGCTTTCTAGATAATACTGGGATTATGTTAAAATAAAGAAAAAAAGCTTCCCAGATATACTGTGATTATGTTAAAATAAACAAAAAACTCTCATCTTTAGAGGTACATCCTAAAATGTTACAGATAAAATAATATTTGATATAACGTCTGGGAATTTGCTTCAAAATAACTAGTGGGGGAATAGTGGACTGGAGTATAGATGTTATATGTTCATTCAAGATCTGATCATTGTTCAAACTGGGTGGCACGTATATAGATGTCATTATATTGTTTCCCCCTACTTTGACAATGTTTAAAATTTTCCAAAAAGTATTTAAAGAAATCTGAGGTGATTCTAACGTGCAAACAGGGTTGAGAACCACTGAACTAGTCCACTGAAAAAGGCAGGCTTAGCAAAGTAGGCCCCCTTACCACTGTTTCTATCAGTTACTTTTATGACAGGATTTTCAGTTTAGAATTTGAAAGCTACAAACTATTAATATGCCTAGCTTTGGAGGAAAGCCCTTCCACTTATGACATGACATTTCTGTAGTAGGAATGAATGCGGCTGACGAGCAGAAAGATTATTTACTCCAAGTTACTCAGCAAAACTACCAGGAAAAGAGGCAAAACAACAATTAGAACTAGAGTTTGATGTTTAAGTAAAATGTTGAGGTTAGAAGTAAAGAGGGTAGATTGAGAACTATAAAATTTTAGATTTAAATGAGACCTTAGGAATTAGATGAACTAATTTTCAGACAATCTGAAAATTATATGAATAATTTTCTTAATTCACAAATGCCAAGACTGATGTGAGAGATAAGAATAATACAAAATAGGCCCCAGTTCAGACAGAGCAACCTGGCTTTTAATCAGGACACCAATTACTGCAGTCACAGTTCAACAAATACACTGTATTTAAATCCTGAGTCATCAGCGTAGGAAAAGGGTAAAAATATAATGAGGCAGATCATCTTTCGAAAGCTTTGAATAAGTAAATTCAGATGGCTTGTAGATAGCCCAAATAAGAGTGGAGAATAAACCCCAATAAGTGCTCCTTTTAATCACTCTCACTTCTCTGTGATTATGGTTGGGTTTTTTTGTTTTTGTTTTTCTTTTGAGACAGAGTCTCACTCTGTTGCCCAGGCTGGAGTGCAGTGACTGGATCTCCACTCACTGCAGCCACCGCCTCCCAGGTTCAAGTGCTTCTCCTGCCTCAGCCTCCTGAGTAGCTGGGACTACAGGCATGCACCACCACGCCCAGCTAATTTTTTTGTATTTTTAGTAGAGACGGGGTTTCTCCATGTTGGTCAAGCTGGTCTCGAACTCATGACCTCAAATGATCCAACGGCCTCGGCCTCCCAAAGTGCTGGGATTACAGGCGTGAGCCACCGTTCCTGGCTGTGATGATGTTATCAATTGAGATCCAAGGAAATAAATCATGGAATCCAAATTCCACGTACTACCAATATGACAAATAATACTCTATTCACTCTCTAAAGCCCCAGTTCCCTGGGAAGTGATGAAATGACAGGAAACATCAAACACTTCCCAATCTCCTCAAGCCCTCCATTTTTCTATCTCATCCAGTCGGTCTACCTGGAGAAACTACATGTATTTCATGCTGACAGCTCTAAAAGCGATTAGAAACATTAGAATGGTAATCGCTGCTATCAGCTCCATCTGTCCTTTCTTACAGAGTGAAAAAACAAGTTGGCTCTTCCTGAAAGTCCTTGGAATTGAGAGCAAGGTCTTCAAGGCAGCTATGGGTTGTCGCTTTTTAGCCATGCAACACTTTGAAGTACTACTGGAGAGTAAACAAGTCGTGGAATCATTGGCTCTTCCACCTGCGGAGCAGCAGCGGGGCGTGAAAGAGGCACAGCTTCAGCCACCAGAACTATAAAGTATGGGACAAAAATTAAGCAGTCAACCAAATGATGTCCTTAATTGATCCCCAAGACTAGGGGAAAGTATTCAATAAGCAAGTAGTTGCTGCTTACAGCCGTGCCAAAAGGGAAGAAGATCACAAGTGCAGAGCTGCTAGAAGGGCAAAAATGATACTGATACATAGAAATTTTCCGAAAAAGAATTTTATGTAGCCACCTCTGGGCAAAGGTGAGAAACTACCACCTATGGTCAGCAACTCGTGCAACCTACCCTCTGAAGTTGTCCACCAGGGCTAACAAACTACAAATTCAGCAACGCTATAGAGGAGAGTCACTCGTGCATGTTAGGAAGAACCAAGGATCGGGGATGTCTATTGTCCCCATCCTAAAAATGTGGCCAACAGATTAGTCAGAACACCAGGAAAACAAGAACTCCGCCTCTTTATCCTATTTTGAGGCGGCACTGCAAGAGGAATTACCATCCAACACCTCTGTCCCCGAAAAATCCTTTTAATTCAAAAAACCATAGCCCGGTTCGGCGCGGCAGAAAAGAACCAAGAAAGGGAAGAGGAGCCCGGAAATCAACCCGCTGCAGTACTGCCACCAACTGCGGGCGTGGGACGCTTACCTTGGAGTCGGGGAGGCTGAACACGCTGGGGTCGTCCGTACTGCCCACCATGATCTTGTGCTCCTTCCCCGGGGCATGACCGCCTGCGCCCTCGGAGCGTGCAGCCTTGGCACCGTGGCGCTCCCCGGACACCCGGTCGCTGGTGGTGTTTCCCATGGCTGCAGCTCGTCGGGGACCACCTACCGCGGAGAACCACACCGGGCTGGGAACACCTCAGTAGCCGCGTCAGGGGCGCCCCCCGGCCCCGCCCATGCGCCTTGGGACAGGGCAAGGGATTTCCCCGCCCCAGGGAAGCCGAGCCCCGGAGCCTGCTCCCTCCTGGCCTGCGGGAATGCCTGCAAATACCCCGGTACCCTCGCTGCCCCTAGTCAGGAAACCCGCTATCGGGACTCCCCCGCGTCCTCGCGCTCACTGCCAGGGGCGCCCCCACCCCAGTCACCTCGGGCGATGCGCTCCCTCCTCCAGGGGCCACTGAAGTGATGACTGTTCTGCAGATCAGGCCACCAATAAAGTTATTGAAATTGAAGCCGCACCCCTCGCTGGCGATCAGCGATTCCTCCTAAAATGGCTACAAGGCCGGCGGCGCGGAGTCGGCCCCGTGCGCGTTCCCTGCGGCCTGCAGCCTCGGCGTCCCGGGCCCGCCGGCCTCTCTAGCCGCCGCCGCCTCGATGGTGGGCAGTCGCACGCAGCCTCCAGCGCCAGGAGGGGGCGCCAGGCAGGGCTTGTGCCGCCTGGGGAGACTGCACCCGGCATCATTGGAGCGCTGGGCCTCTGAGACTACCCGGCGGAAGGGACGTTCCCACAGGACACTCGGAGGCCGCCTCCCTGGGCTCCGGCGCTCGGTGCCGGGAGAAGCGACGCGGCTTTCTACCCCGCCTCAGGTGCGCCAGCACGTTTTCTGGGCAACATCTGTGTGTTAGGCGACGGGAGAGGTGGGTTCCTTATAGGGAATAAGAAAACTGAAACTGACTTCCAACTGCAGGCAGAAGGAAGCAGTGGCCATTGCTGGAGATTAAAACTGTTCTGGCCGGGCGCGGTGGCTCACGCCTGTAATCCCGGCACTTTGGGAGGCCTAGGCGAGCGGATCACGAGGTCAGGAGATCAAGACCATCCTGGCCAACAAATTGAAACTTGGTCTCTACTAAAAATACAAAAATTAGCTGGGCGTGGTGGCGCGCGCCGGAAGTCTCAGCTACTGGGGAGGATGAGGCAGGAGAATCGCTTGAACCCGGGAGGTGGAGGTTGCAGTGCGCCAAGATCGCGCCACTGCACTCCAGCCTGGCGACCGGGCGACGCTCCGTCCCCCCGCCCCCCCGCCCCTCCCCACAAGAAAAACCTGCTCAATGGGGAGCGACAAGGAAGGAGCTGTCAGCCCGACTGGGGTCGCAGGGAAGAATTCAAGATGGCGTATTTAGGAGCTAGACCTTGACAAATTAGTAAAATGTTAGTCTTAGGAGAATAACGAAAAGGCTTTCCTAGTCTAAGAAACAGCATACGCAGTGAGAAACCTCAGAAGAAATAAAATTCAAGGAAGACAGCGACAACGAAAACATCAGAAGGAACCCTAAAAGTATAAAAAAGGCAAAGACAGTCGTAGGGTTGGGAGGGATCCAGGTTTTTTATGAAAATTAGTGGAATCCCTAAGGTACTTACCTTTGTATTATAAGTATTTGCATGTCTCTTTCTCTACTAGAAACGTTTATCTGTGTTACACAGACCAGCAGCGTTGGCATCACCTGGGAGCCTGTTAGAAATGTAGAATCAGGCCCCATCCCCAGGGTTCAGAGTCTGCATTTTAACAAGATCACATTAACGTGTGTGAGAAGCAATGCTTTGACCCCTGGCAGAGAGCAGATCCAGATTTGATACCTTTTCATATTCTGCATGTACCTTGTACAGAGCAGGCTTTTGTATTTGCGGAATGAAGGATACAGGAATACTGTTTACTGTAATCCATTTCTAACAAGATATGCCACTTAGGCTTAAACACGGCCAATGATGGGGAACCCCAAGTTACATAGGCCACCCTTTCTGAGTGAGCAGCTCTATTTGTTGAAAAGTTCATTTTTATATTATGAAGTTGACAGCCCACTTAAGTACAACAAATTCACTACTCCCCCATTCTTTGCTCTGCCCCTTATAAACTCATTCTTTGACTCATAAACCAAAGACAGTTTACAGGAAGGAAAAAAAAAAAGGTACGATTTTACTGCAACTTCTTGCTCACCCCTCGGAAATCTTTACTGTCTGAGTACATCCTTTTTGGTTATCCCTACCTTTCTCCCTCCACCCCTCAATTCCTTACCATAGGACTCTGAAGCAAGGCCCTTCAAGGTGTGATACATTAAACCTTGACTTGTGTAGTATTCAGTTTTCTGAGCCCAAGGTGGTTTCACCATGCCAAATAATATGTCCTTGGTATGTATTTCCTTGCAGTAGTGAAATCAGCTTAGCAGAAACAAACTAAGTATGTTAGCCAATGGAAAACTGAAGGAGAGAAATAAACTGTTTTTACACAGCTAAATGGAAATGACTTTTGTATTATCTCCTTTGGAAGATTATCCATGACACTGTTCTGCCCTGCTCTGCTCTAACAACATTTGTAAGTTACTCAACAGTTAATAATAAAAGTCAGTTTTGAATATTGCATGTTTTAGACACAGAAAAAATGTAATATGACACTGTAGGAAGAATGAATTCTCCTTAGTCCCAAATTCCTTTTTTTTTCTTAGATTCAGGAATAAGTAGGTAAAGATACAAGATCTTCTTAACCAGTATCAGTATAATTGTTCCCTTTAGATTTATTGCTGTCACCCCAATGCTCTTCTTTCTAAAGGGAAGGAAAAGAAGGGGGTAATAGGAAAAGTAATTGATGGGGGTTGTCCTGATGTTACTGTGTCTAGGACATCATTGCCACTGGTCTCCTCAGATCGACCATTCTGCCTAATAAACAGGAAAATAACATGGGCAACGTCACATGCAAGCATTTACACACACTGCTAAAGAGATCTCGCTTCCTCTGAGAGGTGAGGATGTGAGAACGAGGGAAGAGTATATTGATTTTCCAGAACTGGATGACAGGTTAAATTGGGCATCTAGAGGCTTATATTCCCATCTCACTCACCAAGTTTCATCCTCCATTTATGACCAAGGATAGGTAGAACATCTGATCTTGATGGTTACTGTTTCAAAAAACAATCTGGTCTTTTTTTTAAAGTTAAGCATTTACTTAATCATGTAGCATAGTAATTCCCACTCCTGGATATTTATCCAAGTGATATAAAAACAAGTTTACACAAAACCTGTAAGCACATATATGTCTTTATTCATATAATAGAAAAACACAAACCCTAAAATGGAAAAAAAAAACCAAAACATTAATGTCCTTCACCTGGTGATATGGTTTGGTTCTGTGTCCCCACCCAAATCTCATCTCAAACTGTAATCCCCACGTGTTGCAGGAGGGACCTATAACCTCCACATGTCAAGGGAGGGAAGTGATTGGAGAATGGGGGCAGTTTTCCCCATGCTGTTCTTGGAATAGTGCATGAATTCTCACCAGAGCTGATGGTTTTAAACGTGTTTGGCAGTTCCTCCTTCATTCACACACACTGACTCCCACCTGCTGCCACATAAGACGAGCTTGCTTCCCCTTCTACCGTAACTAAGTTTCCGAAGGCCTCCCCAGCCATGCAGAACTATAAGTCAATTAAACCTCTTTTCTTTATAAATTACCTAGCCTCAGGTATATCTTTAGAGCAGTGTGAAAATAGGCTAATACATCTGGTGAATCAATAATTAAAATGTAGCATAGCTATAAATGGAATACTACTCAGTAATAAAAAGGTATAACTCAATACATACAATAATATTGATGAATCTCAAATGCATTATGGGAAGTAAAAGAAGCCAGGCTCCACTTATATGACATCTGGAAAAAGGAAGACTATACGGTCAGAAAACAGATCAGTGTTTGCCAGGACTTGGGGATGGGGGTGGGGAGTGACTGACTACAATATGGCATGAAGAAATTTTGAAGGGGAGTTATGGAACAGGTCTAGATCTTGATTATAGTGGAGTTATTTATACCCACCAAACTGTACAATACAAAAGTAGGTTTTTATTGTATGAAAATTATGCCTAAATTTAAAAAACTATTACTAAAATCAGCGTTAGCAAAAGATACGCGTTTGACTTATCAACCATTGGGTAAACTAATTATTTTTGAAACAAATACCATTGATTTTAATCTTTTTATAGTTTTTATACAGGCAGAGAAATAGTAGTGATTCTGCTCACCTAAAGGAAGATAGACCCAATTCAAAGGTACAGAATTTTCCCCAAATAGTATCATACTTTTTCCTTTCAGATTCCAAAGGATTTGCATGTAAATTCTATCATGTGATCCTCAGAACCACCCTATGAGGGTAAGCAGAAGAGATATGATCAATGATATTCCATTTTATAAATGAGGTGCAGGTTAAATATTTAGCCAGTATTTCTTGAAGGGATAAGTATAGTCCATTTATTTCAACAAACCTTGATTGGGGGCCCCAATACTTGTTGAGCTTTTGCTGAGCCACCCCTGCTCTAGAGGCGCACACCCTCTTGAAATCTCTAAGGAAACTACTACAACTCTAGATAGATATGTTCTATAGTGATACTGAGACTAAATATTCACTGAAAATTTCCTCTAAAATTATAGACATACATTATTGGAATAAGTAACTCAATTAGCATCTTCATTAACTATGTATCTACTATGTATATATCATCACCATATGAGTATTAATTTGATGCAAAGAGGCTGCCAACTCTAAAATTATTTGATGTAGGGCAAGTACTTTTATCTTCCTAGCCATAAATTTTCTCATCTGTAAAATGAGAGGATTAGGCATGTGATCATTAAATCCTGGGTTAAGGTAGGAGACATCAATATGAAATGTTTAGCTTAATATAGATACAGATCGGTAAATATAGAAATACTTAAAAATACATGTGGATTCATGTGTAATATATTACTATACACACATATATTTCCAACTTCTGTCCTCCGAAGGCCTAGAAGCAATGACAAGCAGAAGCAAGGAGCACACCCAGCATACAGTTCTTGGTTTCTAATACTGTTCTCCAACAAAAGGAACCAGAACCCTTGAGAGAAATGCCTAATTCTAGGACTGGGGCAGGGGATATACAAGATGAGTCTGAAACATCTTATAGTGCCAGAAAGTAAACAAGTGCTTTAAAAAGACACAAAAAACTGATGGTATATCAAAGTGACATAGGAGCCAACTAAAAGAGCTCCCAATGGCTAAAGCTAGAATAATTCAAAAAATAAGTAATTCAGCATTGGATTATAACCCAAATTATAAAATAAGATCCATGAGTTCATACTGATACAAGTAAATGATTGAAGAAACAAATAATTGGGAGATAATTCTCGTATTGAAAAATTCCAGGCCGGGCGCGGTGGCTCAAGCCTGTAATCCCTGCACTTTGGGAGGCCGAGACGGGCGGATCACGAGGTCAGGAGATCGAGACCATCCTGGCTAACATGGTAAAACCCCGTCTCTACTAAA